CATGGTTGCTTTTTTTTTTTTCTCTCTTTTGGCTTGTTTTTTTCAGTTCTTTTCGTTTTGTTTTTGTTTTTGTTTTTTTGGGGCGGTGTTGGCGCGAATACCCTTACAAGGGTATCCGCCCTGGTTTTTGCAAATGGCAGAAAATAAATTTTGTTCGACATTTGAGTACCCCGCGCGAGTCGCGGTTGCGTTTTGTTCCCGTTGATTGACTGGTTGACTGGAAGTAGATAGTATATGGGTGCGCGGTTTTTGAGGCGCGCATGATGAATTTAATTTTGATGTTATAGAGTCGGCGTTTCCGCCGGCAAAATTTATGGCTTTTATTAAAACTAGGATTTCTTTTTTTTATTTGAAGTGACCATGGTACATCTGCGTTCATACGGCATGCGTCATTGAAAGTGGTGTTGCTTTGGGCAGTATTTGGGGTGTGCGAGAGAAAGTAGAACGCAAGCGGTGACCTCCGCGCGGTACATGTGGGAGGTTGACGGTCGTGGACAGAGCCAGGCTCTATGAGCGGCGGGGGTCATAGCTCGGCAATCGTGAGTTGGGACCGTAGGCGAAGGAGTGGCCTTGGGGTATTTTAGTAGCTCCGCGTGCGGTGCGACAACGATTTATATTGAATTTTGCATTAGTTCGTCTCAGCTTTGGGCAACAACACTATCCGTAACGACATTGGACTTTCTAAGCGACAAGACAGGGATCGAGGGCGGCGACCGGCAGTGATGGAACATTCGAGCGGGCGAAGATGCCGAGGGGTTGAGGGCCCGGCAGGGCTATTACCCTTGGTTTCATTGTCGGCCCATCCGTAGGCCAGGTCGGCGGAACTGAGAGTGGTACTGGTTGTCTCCCTTCCCCCAAAGCGCCGCTTTCCAACGTTCGTATTTTTATTTTTACCTTTATTTATATTTTTCTTCAGTCATTTTTACTTATCGGTCCCATCTATGGGGCGCGGCGACAACATTGGTACCGGAGTTGTGTGCGGGAACCAGCGGGCGTAGCTCAATTTATAAGCCCATGAACTGTTTTAAAAAAAAAAACGCGGGCCGACGAGTTCAACGTGCGCGCGAGCTGGTGGGTCGTTAGTCCACGAGGGGGAGGAAGAAACCTCAGTGGTCGGACCCTCAGCGCATGCACCCTCCGTCGCCCACGATCTGCTGTGAAAGGTTTGAGTGTGGGCATGCCGGCGGGGCCCGTGAGATACGGGACCGGTCGCGCAGATTTTGCCGAAGACCCGAATGTACCATTGGTGTGCTCATTTTTTTCAGCAGCCTGTGGAGCCGCGGGGCAAGGGAAATGCCCTATTTATTTTTAGTTATTTATTTCGGGACCCGAAGTTTTTTTGCGCAACTTGTGGATGGTGTCGTGTGACCAGCAAGGGACCAAATTGTTGTTTGCTGCAGACGGTCGGGGCCGTGTCCCATCTGAAAAAGGGACAACAGTGTGTGACCGGAACCATGTCCAAAACCTCAAATTGGCCCGTCCCAGACTTGGGGTTGCAGTGTAACCATGGTCGTGGGGTCCTGCAGTGTGAGTATACCTTGAGCATGCCTGCTGGGGCCCGAAAGACGGTAAATTGTGCCAGGGCGCAGTAGGGAGGCACGCAGCGGTAACTAGCTGGTCACATGGAACCCCTCCCCATTCTGCTGTTTTATTTTATTTTATTTTTGTTTGATATTTACTTATTTGAATTAACCCTTTGGTATCAGTTTGGGATGCGGCCCCGGCGTGGGTTTCGAGGCTGGCAAAGGTACCAGTGGGCCAACTCACTTGGTACAACCGCAGACTGCTGGTAGGCCTGTGGGACCAACAGCTGCGGANCAAAGGTACCAGTGGGCCAACTCACTTGGTACAACCGCAGACTGCTGGTAGGCCTGTGGGACCAACAGCTGCGGACCCAGCTCAGTTGGTATAACCGCAGACTGCTGATAGGCTTGTGGGACCAACAGCTGTGGACCTAGCTCATGTGGTACACCCCCCGAACTGTTGAAGTACAAGCCTGAGATCAAGCTTAACTGGAACACCCGCGGGTTATGTAAAACAGGCCCGTGGGACCAGCAACTGTGGGCCTAGCTCAGTTGACACACCCATCAACTGTTGAAGCATTGGTCGCGGGGTCCAAAGTGCATACGAGCCAGTGGGTGACTAACCCACGAGGCGGAAGAAACCTAAGTGGCGGGGACCCTCTGCGGGTGCTGAATCTACCAACCACGATCTGCTGCGGGGCAGCTGTCCGCCGCCCGCAATCTGCAGGGAGGGGTTTTGAGTGTGAGCATGCCCATTGGGGCTTGAAAGATGATGAATTGTGCCTGGAACAGTGGGACGGGCGAACCAGGGAGGAGGCTGCAACAACACTAAGTATGCTCAACTGTGTGCATGAAATCCTTCCCCACTTCGGGCTTCTAATTTCTCAATTGGATATTTGCTACCACCACCAAGGTCATCGTGGGACCCTTACCTGTAGAGCGGCACAACAAAGGCTTGGGACTGCCTGCGGGACAGTGAAAACTCAAAAACTCTATGGGAAAGGT